ACATAAATTACATAATTATAGTTTTACAATTTGCCTGATTTGTTTATATGTAGCTTTTTAGATAATCTAAAGAACCGTTATGTTCCAGCCAGCATAATGCTTCCAACATATTGTAGAAATATTTTTTCTAGTCGATGTCGATGTATTACTGTAAATAATAAGTATTTTTTGTAATCTGTACTTTGTAGGTCAACCTATTAACTAATGAGTAACAACGCACAGCTTTCATGAGCTATCAATTCATAATCAATTTTCCAGACACAAACCTTTACAGATGCAGTATCAAATGACACAGATTCAAGGCATAGTTTAGTTGATGTATTTGTAGTAGGAACGCAGTTATCAGTAAATTTGTTTATGTTGAGTCGAACTGATAAACAAATGCACGTACATATTCAACCCAATCATAAATATGTCAGTGTTAAGTGAAAATGGAATTGTTAAGGGCGTGTCAGAGATATGGCCCCGGAACGAAAAAAAACGCACACACCGTGACGACATTTTGAATATGATTCCTACAATAACGTATAACGTAATCGACCCAGACGTGATCACAGACGTCTTTGAAAATTCCTAATTGGAAATTCAAAGACAAAAAGAAGAATTAATGTGGTAGAAATTTCCTTGCATATTAAACGACACAGTAAACTTCAGAGTATCCAAACACAACGATTTGAATGAAGGAAAATTCATATCACATAGTATGTTTTGTAAGGAATTGCGTAATGTACAAATATTCTGTTATTGGTTTGACTATGTTGTGAGGTGTACTTGTCAGTTAATTATTCTGCTCTTCTGTTCTGTTGTTTTCTGTCGATTGTCAGCTGTTTGGTATTAATTCTTGAAATTCCCCATACTACCTATGTCAAACAATCTTTGGTTGGGCATGTTATTTCTCTTTTAGAGCCAATAGAATTCTTCTATATTAGTCACTTCCAGTCACTGAAACTCTTTGTTATAATAATCAAATAATGGGTTATAAAAACGTTGCTAACCTTTGACCCGAGAATTGAACCTGGGGTACTCATTGCGACCTTACGGTACACGGCTTGCTGGACTACTTCAGTTTAAACTTCCTACAATCCAATCAGGGCAACCAGCGAGAAAGTAGCTGCTTTGGGAAGTTAGGCGGGTAGTGTAATTGACTAATAAACAGAGGGCTCCTCAGGGATAACGATCTGTAGGATATATCTTTCCAAATACTTTCCAGGTAGTACCAATATATGTCAGTTGAAAATTGTTTGACTAACTATCAATAGGCTGAAGTCTAGTCCAAGTTCGCCACACAAGGTAATGTAACACAAGTATCACCATCATTATAAGATGAAATAATATTTTTGGTGGGGAAGCCTCATCTGGCTACTAGCTTTTAACCCCTAAAAATTGGTCCACAAAGCGTCCGAGTCAGTTCAAAATACTGCTAAATCCCCAGAAAATGAAAATGCTGGAAAAATCGCTGTACCTTCCGCTTGAAGCCAAGGCCACCAAAAAGTGTTTTCTTTGACATTGGAAAGAGAATTTGCATACTGCACCTACACTAATGACAAAGACCAAGATGGCGTGACTAGCTACAATCTGATTAAAATAAGATCCTAGTTTGGGCTTTTTTTTTTTTTTTTTTTTGTTAAAATAATATCATTCATATTTTTTTTCATATAATCTATTATTTTTTTTAAAAATTTATCTACTGCTATTTTTTTTAAGTTTTGGTAATCACGAGCGTTCAAGTACCTCTCCGCTGACGGGATTAGTCAACCAATCACAGAGCGCCTTACGAAAACATGGTGATGCACTTTGCGCGTGCGCATGAAGTGATCACAAAAAATTTAAAAAATGGCGGCGCTTATCGGTCAATCGAGCGAGAAACTCGAACAAATAATTGACCATGAGGTGAGTATCTGTTGAATATGACATGTTTCCTATTATGATTGAACTATGTCGGGTATTGGTGGCCGTTTAGTCAAGTAACAATATTTATATACGCGAAAATGCGTACTCGTGTGGATATAAATGAAAACACCAGTGTTATTCATAGGCGCTCGGAACGTTTCTTGGATAATAAAAAATGACCTAAAGTAAGATCGGCATAGTTAGTCAGTCGCCGGTACATTCGCCTACCACTCATGTTAGTCACATTAACAAGGATACAAGGAGGTACGTTGTGTTTTAATATTGTCGCCTCATGTCTCATTAATGAAAGACCAAGTAAATGTTTTATTTTATAAATGGTAATTTACTTGCACAACAGTACTGTCACTGGAAATTGTTTAATTTGACTGGTTCATCTCATTTCGAAATCTATACTTCCTGTTATTATTTC